CATCCTAACCATGGGCAGGTCTTGAACCCCTGACCTCAAGCCATCTGCCCACCTCTGCCTCCCAAAGTGTTGGAACTACAGGTATGAGCCACCGCACCCAGCCAGTTTCATTTTCCTTGACTGCCTAAGGCATTGTCAGAGGTTCTTATTTTTCCTGCTCCCTTTGGGAACCCAGATATGAGCACGAGTTCTTGATCTTGATCACGAGTCTCATGATTTTGCTTTTCTTGAAGGAATTTCTAAAAAAAACTCATATTTCAATCTACCATGGGCTGTTGCTTCTTCACAGGGTATTGCCTTGGGCTCACCTACATGAAATCGCTTCTTCAGTGTTGTTTCCCTTAGCTTGCCTTATCAATTCTGCTCTGAAATCTCTGAAATCTCTCCTTTAGACATAGTGGCCTTGTCTGGGCTTTGGTCAGCATGTGAAAATGCAGTAAGGAAGTTGGGATGATAAAAAGGCAATGAGGTTTAAGGGTGTTCCTGAGGCTTCAGGGCCTATCACTCGCATTCATTCATTCAGCACATGTTTCTTGAGCATCCACATATACCAGGCATCATGCTATCTGCTGGATACAGTGGTGTGTGTGTGTGTGGGGGGGGGGCGGGGTGGTGGAGCGGGTAAGTGGTGGTGGTGTGTGTGGTGGTGGTGAGACAGCTATCTGGCCAAATTCTAAAATAAATTTATCATTACAAGCTGAATAATGCCACAGGTGGTGGTGGTGTGTGTGGTGGTGGTGGTGAGACAGCTACTATTCAAATTCTAAAATAAATTTATCATTACAAGCTGGAATAATGCCACAAAGGATAAGTTCCAGCATCTCTAAGCACCCCTAACAAGGGGACCAGTCTGGTCTCAGGGAGAAAAGGCAGTTAGGAAATGCTGCCCTGAGGAAGTGCTGTTTGAACTGAGATGCGAATGGGATTTAACCCAGGGAAAAACCAGGAAGAATGCTGCAGTCAGAGAAAACCACATGTGCAAAGCCCCCAAGGTAGGCAGTGTGTGCACTGGAGAGACCAGTGCAGCTGAAGGTGGGGAGAGTAGCGTGAGATGAGGCTGGAGGGTGGGGAGCCATGAGGACCATCTGAAAGCCTTTGGTCTCTATTCCACGAACAATGGAGAGCCGTGAAGTTTTAAGTGAAGGCTGATGAAATTCGATTGGAGTTTTATATTTTCAAGAGTACCTGCTCTTGGGAGGGCTGGTGGGGGTAAGGTTCATAATGCCCTGATTCCTTTTTTCCCAACATCTGCCCATCTCTGGCATAGTCGGCTTCACTAGCTGCAAGTATAAACATAGTCACGGTTCATCATTTTTCCAATTAATATTAATAGCTGCTTCCATATTAATATTAATAGGAGCTCCCATACGTCTAACTGCTCACATTTGAAGCCTCCCCCACTGGTCATCCATGAACCCCAAGGTCTTACTTGGTCCAAAGCAGACAGATTCTCTTTCCAAATGCCCCAGAGAGGGTGAGGAAGGCTAGTGACTTCAGTAGGTAGGTCCCTGTCTCCCGCCTTAGTCATGGCCTCTGCTCACGATTGGGCACTGGTCCCATGCATACAAATACTCCCCTTGGTGGTAGACAAGTATTTGTCTATCCCCACTGAGGGGAGGCTTGGGCTTCAGAGTTAAAGTCAGACTTCCCTCACTCACATACTCTGCCTTTGTCTTCAGAGCTGAGTCAGAGGCAGCTGGATGTGCAGGAGCATCCGCCTGTCTAGCCCCAAATCTCCCCCACAAAACTTCCACGTCAGGCCATCAGCCCAGGTGTACCTTTAGCACCCTGGGTGTCCTTCCCTGCCGGGGAATTCAATCCTTCAGAGAAGTTCCCAGTTGTTGACCCTCTTGGGGCCCTTCTTGTCATCCAGCACAGGCTCTGTGGACTAAGGGACAACTGCAGAGGCATGTTCATTGTGTTCTGGTCACAACGGATATTTACCATGTGATATTTACCAGACCAACACATACCAACTGGACTTACATTGATGTGATTAAACAACCTTCCCCATGCCAACAAAATCTGTCCCGGGGATGCTTGCTCTCTCCCCCTTGTCAGACATAGAGGATGATGGCATTTGCCCTCTGTTTTTTTTTCCCCTCACCCAGCACTCATTATAATATTCTCCTTAATATATAAAATAATCAGAAAATATCAATAGAAAGACATTTCACGGGCTGGGTGTGGTGGTTCACGCCTGTAATCCCAGCACTTTGGGAGGCCGAGGTGGTGAATCACGAGGTCAGGAGATCGAGACCATCCTGGCCAACAGGGTGAAACCCCATCTCTACTAAAAATGCAAAACTTAGCTGGGTGTGGTGGCACGTGCCTGTAGTCCCAGCTACTCGGGAGACTGAGGCAGGAGAATCGCTTTTACATGGGAGGCAGAGGTTGCAGTGAGTTGAGATCGCACCACTGCACTCTAGCCTGGTGACAGGGTAAGACTCTGTCTCAAAAAAAAAAAAAAAAAAAAAAAAAGCTATTTTACAGTTTCCAACCAATAAAACACATTTGTATCAGCATGTGTGTTACAAAACTCAGTTTCCATGGGAGAATGGGCCCCTAGGAGGGTGACTGCTGCATTCCATAAGGATACAGGACAATTTTAGGACATGGCAGCTCAGAACTGGGCCCTGACATTGGGAGTCTCACTGTGTAAATGTGAAACCATTTACTCTAAATAAACACTACTGGTGTACATCTCCTGAAACATAATTTTTTTAAAAAATGAAAAACTATGTCTTCATTTTTTGCTAATCATAACAAATACTTACAGAAATGCTCTAAAAGCTTTAAACACGCATATTCCAGTTTCCAGAATATATAAAGAACTTTCAAAACTCACTAAGAAAACAATTAAAAACAAACAATCCCAGTGCTTTGGAGGCCAGAGTGGGAGGATTGCTTGAGGTCAGGAGTTTGAAACCAGCCTGGATAACATAGCAAGACCCTCTCACTACAGAAAAATTAAAAAGTTAGCTGATGGCACATGTCTAGGTCAAGCTATCCAGGAGTCTGAGGTAGGAGAATCATTTGAGCCTGGGAAATCGAGGCTGCAGTGAGTTGTGGTCACACAACTGCACTCCAGCCGTGGTGACAGAGCGAGACCCTGTCTCACAAAAAGAAAGAAAAACATGAGCAAAAGATTTGAACATACTTTACCAAATAAGATATAAAGATAGCCAAATAAGCACATAAGAAGGTAGTCACAGACTTCAAATGAAAGCCACAGTGAGATGCTATACACCTATAAGAATGGCAAACATTAAAGCAAACCAGCAAATAACTGACGATACCAAATGCTGGTGAGGATGTGGAGCAACTAGAACTCTCATGCATTGCTGATGGGAATGCAAAATGGTACAGACGCTTTAGAAAACAGTTTTGCAGTTTCTTACAACCTGGTATTTACCATACAATCCCATAATCCCACTCCTAGATATTCACCCAAGAGAAGTGAAAGCACACGTCCACATGAGTTTTTATAGCAGCTTTATTTGTAATCTCCCCAAACAGGAAAGAACCCACATGTTGGTGAATAAACTGCAGTACATCCAGACAGTGGACTACTATTCAGAAATAAAAAGGAACTACTGGGGTACCCACTGATGGATCTCAAGGACGTTATGTGGAAAGAAGCCAGACTCAAATGGCTGTGTGCTGTGTAACTCTGTTTACACGACAAAATTGGAAAAGGTGAAACTATGGGAAGCAAGAAGAGATAATGGTTGCCAGGGGTTAGGGGTGGTGGGGAAGGGATTAACTAAAAAGGGAAATGGGAACTTTGGGATGTTGAAATATTCTATATCTTGACTGTGATGGTGGTGGTTACACAACTATGTATGTTTGTTAAAACTCATAAAACTATATATCTAAAAAGGGTGAATTTTACTGTATACAACAAACTCAATAGACCTGATGTAAAACATGTTTATTTTTCCACTGACAGAGTAAATATTTAGAGAAAGCTCTTCTAAGCACTTTAAACATTTATTTTAATGGTTTCTTTGCCATTGAAGGAGAGAGGCTATAAAAGCCAATAAAAATGAATTTGTTTCTTCATTTTAGTGTAAGATGTTTTACTGCAGCTGCTTAAATGGAGATCGTCTGTAAGAGCCTCATCATAAGAATGTCATTTTTCTCACGACTTAAAGTCTGTGCAGCCTTTGTTTCCTGGGCTACCCCCGTCCATGAGAGCCTGGGCAAGAGCGAAAGCTTTCACTGGACTCCAGTGCCCTCCTGAAGGTGCCTGGACCTATAATGCCACCTCCTCTGAGCCGGTGGTCGATTTGTTATTCTTCCTGAACAGGGAGAGGCACCAGGAACACCAAGAGAAACCAGCCCACATAGCCCTTCAACCTTCACATCCGGCTATTCTTCATGCCCTACATATTGGGCTACAAGGGAAAGGCCCACTGATGCCCATTTTAATCACAGTCTTTTAAGACAGTATAACGTGAAGTTATATTGGGTGTCTACTTCCCTCAGTGTGTCATGTCATAAGATGACAACTTTTGGGTCAACCATCGCAGTCCTGCCAACTATCTATGGAGAAGGTGCGTCCCTCCGACCTAGTTGCAAAGAGTGGGAAGGTGTTCCAGGAGGGCAGCAGAGCTTGGTTACAGTTATGTGGTCCGACGTGATGACTGAGATGGCTCCTGTGCCCAGGAATGAACAAGTGTCAGAGACAGGGAGGAAAGTGGTGTAGGACGCTCAGATCCCTACTACTGGAATCTTCTAGGAAATGCCAGTGAGTCCTTGGTTGTCTCTCATCCCACGTCATCCTCACACCAGCACAAAAGACTAATATTAGTACCTTCTGTTTACACATGTTGAAAACAAGGCTAAGAAGTGATGTAGCTGCACAAGGTAAGTCCATAAGTCGCAGCGCTGAGTCATGAACCAGGTCTGTCTGCAAAACGTCTGCATTTTCTATCACGCAGGGCAGAGGGTAGTGTCACCAGCTCCTTGGTTAGTACGAAGATCTGGTCACAGGCCTGTAATTTTGTCATTTTAACTTTTATACTATTGGTAATCTTAAAGATTTTTTTTTTTAAAGCATTCCTGTATGCCAGTTTTACGAATGGGATCAAGGAAAGAGATGTTAGCCAAGCATGAGTTTCAATCCCACCCTGGGGTCAGGATAACTGGGGTAAGAGGGAGGTAGGAAGAGAGAAAACTGGACTCACAGCTGTGCAGAGCTACGCGGGTGTGTCAGGAGGAGCAGCAAGTCTTGTGGGGGTGCCTGCCCACTGGGACATTTATTCGATCCTCCTCTTTGTTGAAACTTTGGGGGACATAGGGTTGTTTTGCTGCAGTAGGCAGTTCTGCAGTGGGGCAGCCATGGGGGTGTCGGTCCAGGGTGGCTCCCCCTGCACCGCTCAGCTTGGCTTCAGTGATGCCACCTAGACCCCGCCTGTGCTCACTGCTGGCACCGCCACTCCCCAATGTCAGGTCCCGCCTCTTCTCTGGCAAAGCTTTAGTGGTTGTAAGACTTCACCGGCAGGGTGAAGGGGTGAAGAATTCCACAGACGGTCCCTTTCCAGAGGCCTCCTCTGGTGCTTGGAGCAGAGCATTGTCTCGTCTTCTCTGCTCCGAACCCTCCAGCACTCCTCATCTCCTTTCCCAGGTGCTCAGGGCCCTGCCACTAAAAGCACACTCAATAAACATGATGACTTATCAACAGAGTGTTTAGGGCTTTGAATGCTTTTTCTGCTCTTCCAAAGCGGGTTATGCAACTTGTGCCCAGCGCGCCCCAAAGCAGATGCACAAGACTCACATGCCATCAGACACTGTCAAAGAGCAAACAACTCAAAACTACGTTTCTTCCACCAAAGACAGCACCTTTGCTCAAGCTCACCCTTGTATAATCATAACAAGATTCTGTTTGTTGAGCTGGGGTCAAGGGTGAACACTAGATCTTCTATCTGTTTATATGCAGGTTCCTCTACCCCAAGGTATCTCACCAGTTTTCTTGATTTTAGAAGTTGTCACTTTTCAATTTTCTGTGCCAAAGGAACGCGGAAGTAGTACAGTGGGCTCAGTTCCCAAATCACCTATATTTGGCTCTGGAAGGAATTTTGACACAGCACTGAAATATGAATGTGGGTGTCCCTCCCATTGTGGGAATCTACAGTGCTGTGCATTAAGGGAATTCAATCACCAGAGAAGGAACTACTCACTGGTTAGGGGCTGGGCCATGTTCCTCTTTTGTTCCCAGATGCACTCTTCCCTGCAGCGCTTTACTCCACGCAGTGCCCTGTGGTGGACAGACGGCAATGGCGCCATCTTCCTCTCCGTGTGTCCACCCCCTACCCTGTCATTCTGCAATGCTTCCCGTGGGGGGATGGGCTGTTCCCCCATCCCTTGGATCTGGGCTGCCTTTGTGACCTGCTTTGGCCCACAGAATGTGGCAGAAGTGACAGTGTCCCAGTACAAGCCTAGGCCTCAAGAAGCCTGGCAGGTTTCTGCTTGTTCTCAGGCTCAACACCACCATGAGAGCATGCCCAGCTGGGCGGCTGGAAGCATGGGGGACAGGTGGAGAGCACACAGCCTGGCCCAGCCAACCAGCTGGGTCATTGTAAACGGGTAAGCAAACCAGGCCGGGTGGGACCAGGCCTGAAGAACGACCCAAGCTGATTCAACCCATAGAATTGGGAGCTAAATAAGTGGTGGTTTTTGTTTTTGTTTTGTTTTTACACTGGAGTGCACTGGCCCAATCAAAGCTCACAGTAGCCTTGAACCCCTGGGTCCAAGCATCCTCCTGCCTCAGCCTCCTGAGAAGCCGGGACTGCAGGTGCACACCACCATGCCCAGATAAGTTTTGTACTTTTTGTAGAGATGAGGTCTCACTCTGTTGCCCAGTTTGATCTCGACTACTGTCCTCAAGGGATCCTCCTGCCTTGGTCTCCCAAAGCACTGGGAGGCATGAACCACTGTGCCTGGCCAGTGGTGACTACCTTAAGTCACTAAGTCTTGGGGTGGTTACACTGAAAGAATCACAGTTTCCCCACCACATGAAGGTTCTGATCTATCACATTCAAACTGATCTTGAGAAATTCATTCTTCCTTCCGGCAGCTGATAAAATGTGAGTAGGAAACATGATACTCCATGTCTGTTTCAGCTCTTTCACTGGGTACCCAGGCTGTATTTTAAGAAATTTTTGTGAAATCAACAGCATATATATTATCAAAGCAGGTATTTTCTGTCCCTTGTCTATGGTCCAGGGAACCTGCAATAAGATACAAATGAACAGTTGACACCATACCATAAAGATTAGGAATAAGCATATCATAAAGATTAGCAATAAGCTGGATCATGATTTTACAGTGAGCCCAGTTTTAGCAAGCCATAAAAAGGATTTTATGGTCAAATATAAGTTTAATATAATCTCTTTATCATGTTCCCCCAATAACTGTTCATTATTGCTTCATTTTTTTAACACTTATCACATACATCTCTATAGTACACAGACACAGACTTATATTTTCTATACATTTCTTAGCATATAGTTGCCTTTGGATCAATACAGAATTAGTAGGGATCAGTGCAGGAAAGAATATTACCTTTTTCTGAAAGTAGAGTCTTACATATTTATATAGCACCTTTGATTTAAGGAGCTCAAGGTACTTTAACATTCACTGTAGCATCCTTCTGATATCTCTGGGTAGGGAAACTATTATAAATTATCATTATTGCCTTTTTATAGAAGGAACAAATAAAAGCAAAGAAAGGCGAAGTGCTCAGTGAGATGACAGTCACAGCAGAAACTTGGGTTTTCAGCTCAGAGGTCTACTTTGTGAACTAACTCTGTAATATATTCCATATCAAAAGGTATAATGATTTCCTCCATTTGTATAACATCTCCCTGTGGATGATGTTAAGTAAAAGGGCAGGAATGACAGTAAATTCCCACCAACAGATCCTCCTGGTTGTGCAGTTATTTCCTGCAGTTCTTTATGTTGGCTAAGGAGTCTCATAAATTACAGAACTGTCCTGTGCTTCTCCATTGAAAATCCTAATTGACCGCTACCACCCCAGTATTTCCAGCAGGAGGGAAAAACCAGTGATCCACAGTCATGCTCTTCAGCTGGGCATTTGTGGCCAATAAAGTCTGGGCAGTGACCACTATTAGTGCTTTCTTTTATAACCTAGCAGATGTACAAAATTAATTTTAACTTGCTTGCGTATTTTTGCTTTTCTCCAGTATTTGCAGGGAACCAGTGCTCACTGAGTAACAAAAGATAAAACCACCCAGGGAATTTCCTTCCATCTGGACCATCCTCTAGGTTTCTCACAAGGGGGATGATGCCAAGAGAAAGACACCTTTAGGATAAGAAGTTTTCTTAAATTCACAACATGCGGTTTGGCTTTAAATTTAAATGCATTGGAAAATGGAATGTTTTCCACTTCTACAAGGCCAACCTACAGATGCACGATTATGTACGAATAAAAGAGGATCCATTTATGCTATTCTTATCTAAACAAAGAAAATCCAAATTAAAATTTCAACTTCATTCTTCCTTGAACTTCCCTGGTCCTTTCTTTCCAGGAGCCCCATATCCTGTTCGTTTTCTCCATCTTTTCCAGAGAGACCTCTAGAATAAGAATGCCAAGCCGCAGCAACTTGGAGTTTTAGAAATTTGGTTACCAAGTACCTGAGTGCCTCTGCCAGCGTGGAAAAATTAACCACCTAGGGGGTAAGGTCACATACTGAGCTTAGTTCTGCTTAAGGACCGACACAAACTTAAAAACATTCAGGAGAAAAAAATAGGGTTTCCTTTTTTCTTTCTTTTAGAAAAATGAGAATACAGAACATTTTTCAGAATATGGAAGTCCCACCACATGTTCCCAGCAACTATCTCCGCGTCTCACATGTTTGGCCTTTTCCCTAAAGTGCTTACAATGAACACACACAGGGAAAGTCATCTCCAAAACACTGTGAGAAGGGGCACAAAAGAAAATACGTAAAGCAGGCCAGCGTGTGGGCTCACGCCTGTAATCCCAGTACTTTGGGAGGCCGAGGCTGGAGGGCTGCTTTAGCTGGGGAGTTTGAGACCAGCCTGGGTAACATGGTGGGACCCTGTCTCGGTGCGGGGGAGGGGGAGAATCTGGGCATGGCATGCAGCTGTGATCCCAGCTACTCCGGAAGTTGAGGTGGGAGGATCACTTGGATTGCTTGAGCCCAGGAGTTAGAGGCTGCACTGGGCTATGATCGCACCACTGCACTCCAACCTGGGCCAGAGCCAGGTTGCCAAAACGAAAACAAAAACAAAAACAAAAACACAAAAAAAACGCAAAAGAAAAGAAAGAGACCCTCACCTTTAGGATAATTTTTGAGAAAACCTTTACATTAAAAAAGGGGGGGAAAGATACCAAGAAAAGTTATGAAAAGGAATACAAATATGGGGGGAAAACACAGACCCCCACCCTCCCCCAAAACAGGATAGTCATAAAAATAGCTGTCATAGTGCCACAAATTACTGCTGCGAGTATGAGGGGCGGCAGGGGAGGCATCTGCCCCAGTGCAGGGGAGCTGCTGAGCATCCGTGGGCCTGGGGAGAGTCCTCATCAATTCACTTGCTGAAAAGCCCATTTCCTAGAGGGCAAGGTGGGCGGAGAATGCCCGGTGGTCTTCTTCGACTATACCGATCGATCCCTGGGTGGTCGGCGCTGGTCGGCGCTGGGGCCATGAGGGGCCCTTAAGCCTTGGCCCCGCCCTCCTCCTGCACCGGCCGCGAGGCCTTCTCCGGCTCACGCAGCCCCTCGGGGCCGCTGCACGGGTCCGGGAAGCGCGGGCCGTTCCCCGCGAAGGAGTCGCGGCGCGCCAGGGTCTCCTCCTGCACCGGGCGGCCCACGGGCTCCGCCGCCGCCGCAGCGCCCTCCTGCGAGGTCTGGCTGACGTAGACCACAATGATGTCGCCCTTGAAGTTCATCACCTGCCCGCTGGAGATGAACGTGGAGTTACTGTTTCCAGTCACATTTCCTGCCGGGAGAGGAAGGGAGAACACGGGGAGGGTGAGTCAGCGCCCGCAGGACGGGTCTCCCGAGAGGAGTGGAGGGCGGCTTCCCGGCTTCCCATAGCCCCGGGCCACAGGGAACCACACTGTCACCCTCCAGGCCCACTGAGGTGGAGGAGGGCGGGGCAGAGAAGAGAGGAGGAGAAGAGAAAAGAGAAAAAAGACAAAAGAAGTAAAGAGAAGAGGCGGGAGAGACAAAGAGGAGGAAAAGGAGTGGAAGAGGTGGGGGGGGAAGGGGGAAGAGAGGGCGAGGAAGAGGAGACCGCGAGGAAGAAGAGGAG